CAACGCGCCTGCGGATAGACCCAACGCGCCTGCGTATAGACCCAACGCGCCTGCGTATAGACCCAACGCGCTGCGGATAGACCCAACGCGCCTGCGTATAGACCCAACGCGTCTGCGTATAGACCCAACGCGCTGCGGATAGACCCAACGCGCCTGCGGATAGACCCAACGCGCCTGCGTATAGACCCAAGGCGCCCGCGGATAGACCCAACGCGCCTGCGTATAGACCCAAGGCGCCTGCGGATAGACCCAACCCGCTTGCGGATAGACCCAAGACGCCTGCGGATAGACCCAAGACGCCTGCGAATAGACCCAACGCGCCTGCGTATAGACCCAAGGCGCCTGCGGATAGACCCAACCCGCCTGCGGATAGACCCAAGACGCCTGCGTATAGACCCAAGGCGCCTGCGGATAGACCCAAGGCGCCTGCGGATAGACCCAAGGCGCCTGCGGATAGACCCAACCCGCCTGCGGATAGACCCAAGACGCCTGCGGATAGACCCAATTAAGGCGCCTGCGGATGGACCCAAGGCGCCTGCGGATGGACCCATGGCGCCTGCGGATGGACCCAATTAAGGCGCCTGCGGATAGACCCAAGGCGCCTGCGGATGGACCCAAGGCGCCTGCGGATGGACCCAATTAAGGCGCCTGCGGATGGACCCAAGGCGCCTGCGGATGGACCCAAGGCGCCTGCGGATGGACCCAATTAAGGCGCCTGCGGATAGACCCAAGGCGCCTGCGTATAGACCCAACGCGCTGCGGATAGACCCAACGCGTCTGCGGATAGACCCAACGCGCTGTGGATAGACCCAACCCACCTGCGGATAGGCCCAACGCGCCTGTGGATAGACCTAACGCGCCTGCGGATAGACCCACGGCGCCTGTGGATAGACCCAACGCGCCTGCGGATAGACCCAAGGCACCTGCGGATANCAGGTGAAAAGCAACAGAAACGAAGACATTCGAACAAGAGGTCGCTTACACGGGACGTCGGGCGCCCGCACGAGAGAGACAGAGAAGGGAAATGTAAGGAATCCTACCTACATAATAGCTTAAAGCAAGGAATCCTACCTACATTATAACTTAACCCCACAACTGAGATCTGCAGTCAGACACCGCGAGCTCAGCGGTGGGGCGCTTAGGAACAATCCCCCTAGGAACGCGAAATCCAATAGGGCTTCTGACGCGCACAGACACCCGTCAAAAGTCCCCCCTGAGGGGGCGGATAGACCCAATTAAGGCGCCTGCGGATAGACCCAATTAAGGCGTCTGCGGATGGACCCAATTAAGGCGCCTGCGGATAGACCCAATTAAGGCGCCTGCGGATGGACCTAATTAAGGCGCCTGCGGATGGACCCAATGAGTATAAACTGACGAAAAATTATTGGGCTACCAGGATATCTGCAACCTGTCATTCACCGCCGATGCATGTAGGTTGTGTAGAGTAAATAACATTATAGGCTTCTTAAGCAACGACATGCTCAGAAACATTATAGGTTCATTAAGCAACAACAAGCTCAATAACATTAGACTCATTAATCATTGATCAGCTCATTAACATTGGAGAATTATTAAGAATCGATTAACTCAATAACATTACAGACTCATTAAGCATTGGTCAGCTCAACAATAGAAGAGACTTGTTAAAAATCGATCTACTCAATAAAACATTCTTGCCCAATGAGTTCAACGGGTTCAAACATTTAACTGATTCTTGTGATAAGCTCAGTTGATGTATATGTTCATGGGGTTTTCATAGGATTGTGTAACCAAAAATCTGAATATAGATAAAAAGCACAGAGATGTAGGCTTGTCTAATTAATCACGATGAGCCTGAGGAGATCTTATCAGGGCTCTGCTGATAAGCTGCAATCTCGCTCATGAGGCAGCGTTGAGCCACCAGACAATCCCGACACAATCCGGTACAATGAACGTTCTTCCTAGCATTCAACTTGATTGTTTCTTTTTCAGATATTTTAGGCGTTATTGCAAACCAGTACATTCCTGATTATTATCTGAACTTTACGCTCACTAAAGTTTAAATAACGATGTATAATTTTTTTTTAATTACAACTCTCCCTTTTTTATTCTTCAATGTCTCGTGATTCAGACACTAAGGCCATGGTTGAATTAATACGTGTATTAATTCAACCAGGATTAAGGATATATGTCCCGACGACATGAATTCTGAGAGCGAGGTATTTGCGACCACGGTGTGAAGTCCGTCACTAATTTTAATGTAATTGGTGTGTATTAATTGATGATGTAAAGCAGGTTTACGGCACCAATTAAAACACACAAATTTACTTTGAAGAACACATTTAAGACAACAAAGCGCTTTTGTTTGCAGCTTCTCTGATGAAAAATCCTGAGTGGATATTGCGGGATGATGGCAGATGCTGGACTTCATTAATACACCCGAAAATAAAATATGAAGCTCAATGTTAATTCCGTAGGGACGTAATTAAAGAGATAGAGTAGTTCGTAGTTTATTCAAACAACCGAGGAGGTACGAGCTAAGACATAGACTTAAGACTTACGTAGTAAAGATTATATCATACAAATGAACGATGAGGAGCGCAGTTACGTGAATATACAAGTGCAATTACACGAATTGTACACTCAGAACAGCACTGATATGATGATGTAGACGGTGATGATGTAGACGGTGATGATGTAGACGCTGATGATGTAGACGATGATGATGTGAAAGATGACGAAAAAAACGGCGAGAAAGCGTATGATCTCTATGTAGGTTATTAATGTTCAACCATTCTCAACAAACAATAATGAATAATATTTCTATAGCCAGCGACAAGTGCAGACTCCTCTCATGCTGCTACCGTAAACCGCTGCTCACACTGGGCAGTTGTAACTTCGAAAAGTTCAAATGAAACTGTGAGAAGCTGAATAATAATGACGGAATGAATCTTTCAAATTATTTATTAATCGTTTAATGACCTTTTTGTTAAATACAGACCTTTCCCAGCAGGCATTCGGTGGTTGAATCAACGTTGAATCAACTACGCATTACGACATTGAGATCGGGGTGAAAGGAGGTTTAGAATGAAAATTGAAGCAACATCTTTCATGCAACGTCGTACTGACGTTACAATTCAACGTTGAATCAATGTTGCTACTACGACGTTGCTGCAACGTTGAATTTTATGGTTGAATCGACGTTGAATCAACTACACATTACGAC